TTTTTGAGATGGAGTCTTGCTCTGTCACCCACGCTGGAGTGCAGTGGCACTATCTCAGTTCACTGTAACCTTCGCCTCCCAGGTTCAGGTGATTCTCCTGCCTCAGCCTCCAGAATAGCTGGGACTATAGGCACATGTCACCACACCCAGCTAATTTTTGTATTTTTAGTAGAGATGGGGTTTCATTCACCATGTTGGCCAGGCTGGATTCAAACTCCTGACCTTAGGTGATCCACCCACCTCAGCCTCCCAAAGTACTGGGATTACAGGCATGAGCCACCATGACCAGCCAAGGTTTTATCAATTTTGTTGCTTTTTTTAGAGAATTCGCCATTAGTTTGGCTAACTATATATCTATTTCATTTATTTTTTTCTCTCATATTATTTCCTTTCTTCGTTTTTAAAAATTGTGGCAAAGTATACATGTAATGTAAAATTCACCATCTTAACTATTTTTGAGTGTACAGCTCAGTAGCATTAAGCATATTCCCATTTTGTATAACCAACGTCCACAACTTTGTCATCCTATAAATGTGAAACTATATCCATCAAACAACAACTACCCTTTTCCCCCTGCCTCCAGCCCCTGGCAACCACCACAAGAAACCTACAAACTCTCTCACTACAAGCGTTAATAGCCAAAAAATGGGAGACCAGTAATACTTTCTGATTTTATGAGTTGGACTACTCTAGATACTTCATATGAGTGGAATCATAAGTAGTTATCTTTTGTGATTGGCTTGTTAGAATAATATCCTCAAGTTTCAGCCACATTGTAGCATATGTCAAAATTTCCTTCCAAGGCTAAATAATATTACATTGTATATATATGCCACATGTATTAAGTATGTTTTGTGTTGCTATAAAGGAATACCTGAGGCTGGGTAATTTATAAAGAAAAATGGTTTATTTAGCTCATGGTTCTGTAGGCTGTACAAGAAGCACAGTGCCAGCATCTGTTCCTGGTGAAGCCTCAGGAAGCTTATAATTATGGCAGAAAGCAAAGGGAGAGCTAGCATATCACATGGCAACAGGTAACAAAAGGCAGAGGGAGGAGGTGCCAGGCTCCTTTAAACAACTAGCTATAGGGTGAACTCATATCCATGGGGAGGACACCAAGCCATTCATGAGATCCACTCCTATAATCCAGCACCTCCCACTAGGTGCCACCTCCAACATTGGGGGTCACATGTCCACATGAGATTTTGAGGGAACACATATTCAATTCATATTACCACATTTTGTTTATCCATTTGTCCACTGATGGACATGTGGGTTGCATCTATTTCTTGGCTATTGTGAATAATGCTGCTATGAATTTCCTGTTTTTTAATTTAAGTACTTAACATCCCTCTCAACTCTGCTTTAGCTGTATCCTTCCCATTTTGATATGTTGTGTTATCATTTTTTCATAGTTCAGAACATTTCTACTTATTTATTCAATGATCTGTAGATTTAGAAGTGTGTTATTTAATTTCCATGTATTGAGGGATTATATGGGTTTCTTATTACCGTAACATGGCAATCTTTTTTTTTTTTTTTTTTGAAACGGAGTTTCGCTCTCATTACCCAGGCTGGAGTGCAATGGCGTGATCTCGGCTCACCGCAGCCTCCGCCTCCTGGGTTCAGGCAATTCTCCTGCCTCAGCCTCCTGAGTAGCTGGGATTACAGGCACGCGCCACCATGCCCAGCTGATTTTTTGTATTTTTAGTAGAGACGGGGTTTCACCATGTTGACCAGGATGGTCTCGATCTCTTGACCTTGTGATCCACCCGCCTCGGCCTCCCAAAGTGCTGGGATTAGAGGCGTGAGCCACCGCGCCCGGCCCAACATGGCAATCTTTTGAAGTTTATTGTGACTTATCTTATAGTCCAGCCTATAGTCTATTGTGGGGGCTGTTCATGTACATGAATAGAATGTAATTTTTCAATTTTTGGTATGATGTTCTTTAAAGAACAATTAGGTCATGTTGACTGGTGTGATTGCCATCTTCTATAAAGTTGTCCCTTGCTATCCACAGGGTACTGGTTCCAGGACACCTTGTGGATACCAAAACCTGCAGATGCTCAAGTCTGTTACATAAAATGGTGCAGTATTTGCATATAACCTATGCACATTCTTCTGTACACTTTAAATCATCTCTAGATTTTTTTTATAATACCTAATAAAATATAAATGCTGTGTAAATAATTGTCATACTGTATTTTAAACTTTGTATTATATTTTACTATCATTGTGTTTTTTCCTGAATATTTGTGCATTGCCATTGGTTGAATCTGCGTATATGAAGAGCTCATATATGCTACTGAATTTGACTACAATGCTATCAATTACTGAAATATAATTGTAGATTTCCAATTATTCTTGTGGATCTATTTCTTTTGTTCTGTTAGTGTCTGCTTCATTTAATTTAACACTCATTATAGGTTCATACCAGCATACATATTCCTGATGAACACATAGAGTCATGTGCCACATAACAACATTTTAGTCAATGATGGACACATATCCAATGGTGGTCCCATAAGATTACAATGGAGCTAAAAAATTCCCGTCACTTATAGACGTTGTCATGCAACATATTACTCACGTGTTTGTGGTGATGCTGGTGTAAACCTACTGTGTTTCCGGCTGTATAAAAGTATAGCATATACAATTATGTATAGTACATAATAGGTAATAATAAATGATTATGTTACTAGTTTATTTATTGTACTATTTGTATTATTATTTTAGACTGTACTCCTTCTACTTATTAAAAAAAAAGGGTAACTGTAAAACGGCCTCAGGAAAATCCTTCAGGAGGCATTGTTTTCATGGGAGATGATCACTTCATGCATATATTGACCCTGAAGACGTTCCAGTGGGACAACATGTGGAGGTAAAACACAGTGATATGGATACTGTTGACCCTACGTAGGCCCAGGCTAAAGTGTGTGTGTCTTTGTTTTTAATAAAAAAGTTTAAAAATAAACATTTTTAAAATATAAAATTTTTAAATAGAAAAAAGCCTATAGAATAAGGACATAAATATTTTTGTGTTGCTATGTAATGTGTGTTTGAAGTTATTCAAGTAATAAAGATAAAAAACAGCAAGTTTATAATGTAAAAATATTACAGGAAGCTAAGGTTAATTTTTTATTGAATAAAGAAAACTTTAAAAAATAAATTTAGTGAAGCCTAAGTACTGCTTGTAAAGTCTATAGTAGTGGACAGTAATGTCCTATTCCTTAGCATTCTCACAGCTCACTCACCCAGAGTGATTCACCCAGAGCGACTCACCCAGAGCTTCAGTCCTGCAAGCTCCATTCATGGCAAGTATCTCATATCTTTGTGCCATTTTAAAATATTTTAGTCAGTATTTTTACTGTACCTTTTCTATGTTTAGATACACAAATACCACTGTTTCATAAATGCCTATAGCATTCAATACAGTAATATGCTATACAGGTTTGTAGCCTACGAGCAATAGACTATATACCATATAACGCAGGTATGTAGTAGGCTACCCCACTTCTGTGTCAGTGCACTCTGTGATGCTTGCATGATGCAATCACCTAATGACACATTTTTCAGAATGTATCCCTGTAGTTATGTGACAAATGTATATGCAAATTCCCAATCACCTGCTCTTTTATGATCGTTACCTCTTTATCTCCTGCTACCTACATTGTTTTGAAGTCTATTATCACATATTACTATTGCCACATCAACTTTGTTATACTTAATGTACATCTTTTTCTTGACCAATTTTAAGTAGAACTACACAGGAAATCTCACAGACATTAGGGTAAACTAAAAGAGAAATGTGGAATTCTGGAACTGACAATTAAACAACTGACTGGAAAGGACACCAGCAAATTTTCTGGTGGTGCTGGTGTTGTAAACCAAAAATAAAATCCTAAGCATTCCCCAGGCCATCTGAATGGACCCCTCCCCTTGGCCAGGGCATTCCTAACCTGAAAAACTAGTAAAGCCATGATGGAAAGGCGGTGGTGGGTGGGTCGGACATGCTTTATTATACCCTCCTTCATTTTGGAATTACTGATAGAAAAGACTCCAAGTCTGAAAAGAAACATAATCTGTTCTCTGTGAAGCCTGCTATCTGGAGGCTTCACATGCAAGATGAAATCTTGGTCCCCACAACCCCCTATCTTAACCCAGACATTCCTAAGTCTTTAGTCAATAACTCTTTCAACCTATTGCCAATCAAATAATCTTTGAATCTACCTATGACCTGGAAGACCACCCACCTTCCAGTTTCCCGCCTTTCCCGGGGGGATCAATGTACATTCTGCATGTATTTAATTGGTGTCTCATGTTTCCCTAAAAGGTATAAAACCACATATATCGCAACCACCCTGGGCACAGGTTGTCAAGATATCCCGAGGGCTGTGGCACCGGCCACTGGTCACTCATATTTAGCTCAGAATAAATCTTTTCAAATATTTTAAAGTCTTTTCGTCAACAATGTAAAAAACACGCACTAGGGTGGACACACACACACACAGCGCCCGCTACCTGCTAGATTCCATTCCGGGGCTTTCTTATGGTACAAAACGGACAAAAACTCCCAGTCACCCTCAGGTTCACGACCACGGATCACAGAGTGGAGCAAAACCTTGCCCGACCCAGGATCCGAGTTCTTAGCTCGATCCTCCCCAGCCGAAAGCCGGTACCCGCTTCAGGCCTTCTCAGCCTTGCCCTCCGATTCCTTCTTCGGCCTCCCTCAGCCTGGAGTCCGGGTTTTCTCCCCGGCTGAGCACCTAGGTCGGCGACTCCCTTTACCCTCCCCGGTCCGGGCTTCTGGTTCCAGAGGTGGAGCGGGGGCCACCCAAACTTCCGCGGCTCCCCCACGGCCAGCCTCGACCCAGCTTCCTGTTCCCCATTCTGCCCTCCCCAGCGCAGGTTCTCGATTACTTCCTAGACTTCACCTTGCAGTCGGGGACCACCAGCTGCCTCTCCCGCGCCTGGAAGACGCGCAGCGGCAGCCTCCGCCGAAGACAAGGGTCTGCGCACTCGGAAACGACAGAAGTCTGCTGCGTGGTCCGGCCCCTGCGGCCAGCCGGCTCCACTTGACCGTCAGGCCGCTTTCGTTACTGGACTACGTTTCCCACAGGCTCCAGGGCCGCGGATGAACTTCGACCTTTGCTTCCCTTTCCGGTGGTGTCGTGGTTTTTGAGTTAAGCCTGGTGAGTCGAAGTGACCTGGGCCGGGCTGCGGGAGGAGCTCGCGGCGAAGTGGCCCCCTGCAGCCGGGCAAGGTCGGTCCACGTGGAGCCGGGAGCCTCAGGCCTCTGTACACAGAGCTGCAGACGATGGTTGTTGGTGCTATTTGTTACGGCGTCATTGTGGTGTGTGTGTGTGTGCGTGTGTGTGCGCCGTGGCTTCTGTTTGATCTGGCTTATAGGACGGTGAGTAGGGGCGGGGTCTACCGTGTGACAGCACCGTTGTGACCAACTATAAATGTGAACGGGGTGGGGGGTTTTGTTTTTGTTTCTCCATGAGCCTGTAGGAGTTTGTTTTGGGTACAGCGTCATTTTTCCGACACTGCGTTGTCTGTGATGTAATCTCTTCGTGAGGTCTTAGACACACACACACACGCATATATATAGATAGATACAGATTAGATAGATTACATAGATAGATTAGATAGATAAATGAAGTTGAAGTTTCCTGGGAAGAGATGAGGGAGGAGGCATAGGTGTAGTATTCATTCCTGGGATCACTCCCCTTGCATGCATTTGGAGGTCATTTATACATTAAAGAACTACAGTATTTCCTGAGCTGTGTCCCCTAGAAACTTCTGTGAACTTAAGAGTACAGCTGTAGGCATTGGTTGTACCTTTTTCTCTGACACCGGGAGGAGTCGACAGTATTCTAGTTTCCCTCTTCGATCTGGGTGTGTTTGTTGTATGTGGATCTTTTCTGGTGGTGAACGATGTGTTCTTATTTTAACTAGTCCAGGATGTCATGACCCCTTTCTCCCTCTTGGTTATGTAGTTCTGCAAGTGAAGGCCCCCTGAAGTGGAAGACAGCATTGGTACTTATTTATAATGGCCAACTCAAGGTTAGTTTTTTTGTTATGTCAGATATATTTTCTTTCCTGCCTTTCTTCCACTGTCCCTCTCCCCACCTTGTCTTTCACAGAACATAGACTGCTTCCTTCTCCAAAATTGTCCTAATTGTGACCTGTTGATGTACTTGGTCCCTTAGCAGTCCCTTCCCAATTAACAAGACCGTAAAGATGGGTCCCCTTGTCCTCCAGTGCCTTTCCAATGCCCATTTCCTTTTCATTGAATATTCACATACCCATGAGATAAATCATTCAATTCCCCCATTTGCTCTTTTTTTCCCAAAGGATTCTTACGGTATAGAAATACAACTCCTGGAGAAGTTAAATACTTTTTTAAGAATGTAATTTGTTGAGGAGGAGATGAGTGATTACATAGAATAGCACACTAGATACCTTTGATCTTATTTACAGACTTGATTTGCAAACAAAGCAAGATATGAGATGGTAGATATCAATCAGTAAGTGACAATGTTGGCTTTGGAGACATTTGGAGACTTGTAAATTAACTCTCTGGGTAAGGAGAGCCCCAGTGTGAAGAGTTGGCAGATTTCTATGGTATAAACACAACTACCATGGTCTTTTCCAAGCTTCCAAGCATGAGGTCAATGAATACGAGAGCTGGGGAGAGATGGTACAATTAGCTGGTGTGAGCTGGCTTAAGTCAGCCGCAGCACAGCTCTGCTGAGCCTGACTTTAATTGGGCATGTACTTTGTGCCAATAACTTGACATGCATGAACTCATTTAATACACACAGCAACTCTGTAAGGCAGGAACTGTTATTATTGAGGCTTAAAAGGAATTAGTTCCTTGCTGAAGTAGCAGAGCCAGAATTTGAATAGGAGTTTTGTGTGGGGAAGGCTATGTCAACAAGGGCAGGGAATTTTTCCAGAATATTCATGAGATTTAAGTGGTGACAACCAAATATTGTTTGATTGGCAGTGTGACTGATTCAGACAACATATTGGTGTAGATTGTGAGAGGCAGCCTGATACTGTGGTATTTGAGTCTAAAGCAGCACAGTCTAATGCGAATATAAAACCACTGAGGCAATATAAAAATTTCCATTAGACACATCTTAAAAAGGAGAAGAAACAGATGAAATTCATTTTGGTAATGTATTTTATTTAAACCAATATGTTCAAAATATTATTTCAAAATGTAATGATGTAAATACACTGAAATACTTCACACTCATATCTTTATACCACTTTCAAAATCTGGCATATGTTTTATTGTTATTGCATATCTCAATTTGGATGCTAAATTTTCAGTGTTAAAGGTGAATTATAGTCCTACCAAAACAATAAAGTTGCGTTTAATGGAAAAACATTTATATTACTTTTGTATTTAAATTTAAATTAAATGTAATCCTGTGTTAATTTGCTTAGAAAAAAAATTTTTACTTCAGCTATTTGTTCACACTACATTTTCAAAGGGATTAGTAGTTACTCATTTTTCTGCTTTACAGTTTCTTGTTGTAGAATGTAGACAATAATTATATCAATGGCCTTAGGATCTTTGTGAGGCCTGGATACATTAATATGGACATAACCCTAGAGAATTTAATAAAGCCCTGGCTCTTTAAGTCCTTATCTGCAAGGGAAGGAAAAAAGCTTGTTTGTGAAGATTCTTAGTATTCCCCATACATTTTCTATAAATCAAGAGCAATGAAAAAATAAAGTTAATTTTTATGGGCACTTGAATTTTTAAAAGCCAGATTTGCAAATGTTCTATTAACTTAAGGCAGTTTGACTGTCTTAGGTTCAATGATTTGCTAGAAGGATTCACAGAACTCAGAAAAGCTGTTATCCTCATGCTTATTGTTCATTTAAATGAAAAGGTACACATTAAAACCAGCAAAGGGAAAAGTTGCATAAGGCAAGGACCGGGAGAAACCAGGTGCAAACTTCCAGTGCAGTTGCACAGGCAGCACTTAATTCTCTCAGCAACAATATGCAACTACAAATGTGAAATGTGGCCAAGTAGGGAAGCTCTCCTAAGCCATGGTTTCCAGCGCTTTTTGTTTTGCTTTGTTTTCTTATGTGTGTGTGTGTGGTTCTTTGTTGTTGTTGTTTTGAGATAGGGTCTCGCTCTCTCACCCAGGCTGAAATGCAGTGGTGTGGTCACAGCTAACCACAGCCTCTACTTCCCAGGCCCAAGTGATCCTCCCATCACAGTCCCCTGAGTAGCTGGGACTACAGGCACACAACACAACACCTGGCTAATTTTTGTATTATTTGTATCGGGTTTTGCCATGTTGTCCAGGCTGGTCTTGAACCCCTGGGCTCAAGTGATCCACCTGCCTCGGCCTCCCAAAGTGTTGGGATCACAGGCATGAGCCACTGCTCTGGCCTGTGTCCAGGGTTTTTACTGAGGATCAGTCATGTGGGCATGGAGGTTCTGTGCACCAACCTTAGCTACTTAGTCAAACCTATCCAGAAGTCAGATTGATACAGGTATTTACCATAAACCACATTGTTAACATAAACTACCTGTAATGGCTAAGACCTCAGATATACAGAGACTCTATTACCAGGCAGGATACTCTAAGTGCTCAGAGATTATCTGCCAGGAGCTGGTCAAGGACCATTTCTTCTTTGGAATGTGCAAGGTTTGGGCACTCTGAGCCAATTTTTTTTTTCTTTTTCTTTTTGCAATGGAGTCTTGCCCTGCAGCCCAGGCTAGAGTGCAGTGGTGTGATCTTGGCTCACTGCAACCTCCACCTCCCAGTCTCAAGCAACTCTCATGTCTCAGCCTCATGAGTAGCTGGGATTATAGGTATGCACCACCATACCCAGCTACTTTTTGTATTTTTTTTAAGTAGAGATAGGGTTTCACCATGTTGGCCAGGCTAGTCTGAAACTCCTGGCCTCATGTAATCCACCTGCCTCAGCATCCCTAAGTGCTGGGATTACAGGCACAAGCCACCACACCCAGCTGGTTTTTAAAAATGTAATTGATTTCTCTTTGTTGATATCTCACTTATTTATATGTCGTCTTCCTGATTTCCTTTTTAATTCTTTCTCTGTTTTCCTTTAGCTCTGTGAACATTTTTTTTTTTTTTTTTTTTTTTTTT